CGCTCAGGCTCCCTCTTTCCTTTTGTTCGTATATAGTTATTCGCCTATTCGCCTGGGAAATTAACTTGTCATCAATCATTCATGCGAGGTCTGCAGTAGTAAGTTTTCAACAGATGCTGATGTACAAGATATCAAACTGATTGCTGATTTACAAGATGTCATCTTTTCTTATTTTCCTCATCTTCTTGAACTTGGACATGATCTACTCTCATTTACTGCAGCAGTAGAATATTACTTGGCACATTTTCTGTGCTCTGAGAACACTATATATGCTGTAACTTTAGTTTAGTTTATAACTCATCCTGTTGCTGATAAAAGCTTGGCAGTTTTTCTCGTGAGAATATGCCGGATAGGACATCTGATTGCAAATATCCTTTAAGGCGGGCTGTTTGCCAGTCTGATTGAAGTTGGAAAGCATAAAAAAGGTGCAAAACATTGTCATTGGATAAACTTTATCAGTGTATTCAGGCAGGAAACTGATATGATTTTTCAGTCATCAATTGGTTTCTATATCCACATTCAGGTTATTCATAGTAAATGTAGGTTACCTCTGTGCTTATGTTGCCCAAACAATTTGATGATATGTTATAAACCTTGTTTAATCTCTTACTGATTACTATCTTCTTCAAATTCTGTAGAGTACTATTCCATGTTATACTCTCAATTTTTTTATATCCTTACTGATACTATGCCTATGTCTACCTGAACTTTCTTACAATATTTTCTAGTTCTGTGTCAATTTGAATTTGCCATATGGCAAGTATAGTGAAGAAGATAGAACTGAATAAGATTATGTAAGCTGTACTTATGTGAACCTTGCATTGAGCATATCACTTTTACCATTTAACAAAGTAAATAATACCTTGAAAAAATTCGACACAAAGTAATAGGGTTTTTCCCCCTTAAACATGCACCTTTCTTTTTAAATAATAAAGTTAGATCAAAGCTCAGCAGTCTGAAGAATATGTACAAAAATGATACGAGGAAAGGGATAAAACTAGTCATTAGCTGGGGGGAAAATGGCCAGAGTGCACTGATGATATTTTTCTCTTTTGGCCTGGCCTGTATGTACATATTCTATCAGACCTGAAAAAAAAAGAAACATATACATCTAAAGAAAAAAACTCAGGGCACTTCAGGCAGCATTAGTCAAGCTCTTTCCTAAACCCCCGCGAGCGCCCCCAGCAACTGATTCATCCTTGCAATTCCCGCTTGTATTTGTAGTCTGACTAACACACCTGCACCTGAGGCAAATGAACCTCGCAGGAACAGCATCCAGGTCGGGTATGCCCGCACATCTGGTATGCTGCCAAACACCGCAGACATCACAAGCCAACATCCTCTCCCCATCATCATCCTTTGCTCCACAGAAGCAATCTACTGTCCATCTCTCAACTCCCCTTTCCATTCTATACCTGCTCAGTGCATTTTTCCCAAGGAACTTTCCTCGGACTGTGACAAACTCAGCAGATCCTAAAAGGAGTTTGACCTGAGTAGCTTCTTTCAGCCCGCTGTACCCAACTAACTCATCAGCTTGGAATCTTCTAAACATCAAGTATACATCTTGAAATGTCCTCGTTGCCTCCGCTTTCAAGTCAGAAATCGTAGCATCCGAGGGCAGAATCATTAATTCTGGAGGAGGATTTCTGGAATGCACATCAGAATGTTCCATGATATCCACCTCACATAACAGCTGGATAGAATCTGATTTTGGGATAGGCAAGAATCTCTCGGGTTGATATTCTTTCATAAATTGCTTGCAATCAAGAACAATTCTAGCGGAGCGAACTGCAAGTTCCCTTTTGGTTAAAGGAATATGATTTAACATTGTCTGCGGGTTTAGCATGCACTCATACAAGTACTTCAAATCTCGACGCAGATGTTCCTCAGATGGGAAGTTTGGAGTGCAAGGCAATCTGTTCCCATTTGTATTCACATTAACCATTGGGTTGCCACGCTCAAGTTTATACTCCATAGCGCCGGATCCATTAACACAGCGGGCATTGACAACCATCCCATCGGCTGCCTGTTTCCCATTGAGTTCCTTTAAGCAATAATCAAGTAGTTCCGGAGGTCCAGCTTTACAGACCGCACCTCTAAGAGCACGCCAGCTGACCCAATTAGACCCAGAGACAGCTCGTAGTACTCTAAACATTGCTTCTTCAACACGTAAAACATCATTACTGGTCCAAGCACATAAGACCTTGGACTTGGAGTCGCAAAGTTTGCGCTTCTTATAAGTGGAATTGTCATCAGCCCCCAATGCAGATTTGCGGGCATCACGAATTGAACTAGTCAAGAAAACAAACAGGTCTCTAATATTTACAAGTTCACCTTCCGACAAGGATTGATAAAACGAAATCAAATCCTGCAAACGGGTTCGAGGTTTCCTTCCTTGAGATAAAAATATGGTCAAGGGCAGAGAAGAAAGGTTCTCTACAGCTTGTTTATAAGCATTTTGAGTCAAACCAAAGCTACCAGCTCCAAACTGATAACCCCATTCACCATACCAGGGATGACCTTTTGTAAGGCAATGTAGCAGACGTAATTCCAAACCATACTTCTTTGAAACATCCATTACACTGATTTTTCTAGCTCCAATAACTTTACAAAGTCGATCCCAGAAATTCATTATATTGTTCCCAGAAAGCAACCTGGAGCCACCTTCTCTGCCATTTACCCTGAGAAGATGCCCATAGCCATTGGAATGGATCACAGCATGCAGAAGATGACTGTTATCTTCCAACTGATGGTACATCCAATCTTCAACATCTTCTGTAGTCATAACATGATTGCACGATTTGCACCTAGACTCAGATAAGTGAAGAGCTTCACCACAGCCGGCACAAGGCTTGTTATAACCGCCGATTGAATTTCCGTCTGACTTGATAATAAAGTGGAAACGCTTTGCACAAACTGGATTACTGCTCCAACCAACGACTCGGCATTGGTCGCAATAAACGGATCTAGATCTGGCGACGTCTTCTTCGATTACATCGAGGCAGACGATTGCCGGAGAAGAGTCCTCGTCGCCGTCGTCGTTGGTGAGGTCGCCGACGCGGAAGAGGATCTGCCACGTCAGCAGGTGAGGAAACAGCGACGAAGGCGGCGGTAAGAGCGCGTGCTTCGACAAAAAAGCCTTTACCGTCGTCCTGAACGGTTCGCTACTACCACCGCCGATACTGCCGACGTCGGGGAACGTGAGAAAGTCGTTGAGGTCCGCCGTGACTCTCCTCTTCAACCGCTTCATAGGCCTTCCATTCATTACCACCATTCTTGTCGTACTCCCCTGATCTCCGCGCGTGTCACCCAGATCTCGGCGCGTGACGTCGGTTTATCAGATCTGCGAAAGAGCGTGACGATGATGGAAAACAGATCTATAGAAATAGAGGAGGGAAAAGTCTAAGGAACGTTTGTTTCGGAGTGAGAAATTAGGGTTTGGTAAGTTTTTTTTGGGGCTTTTCTGTATTTTTATATTTATTTTGTTTTCTCTAATTTCGCAGAAAAATAGGAAAAATATTCTAAAGGCGGTGTAAAAAGGAAGCTGGACTATTTCGGGTGAAGAAATTAAGTATTATGAAGTGACTGAAATACCCTTAATGTAGGTTTCTTGTTGGAGAAGACAGCGAGGTTGAGATGAAATGACAGGTGTGCCCTTTGCTTTTTGAATGGTGAAGGGACGTGCGTAAAGTAATGCTCACTCTTGGTTCTTTTTCTATTCATGTTTTCGCGGAATTAAGGATAAAATCAGCGTATACATTACTCTCTCGGAGCCTATTTGTAGGATTATATTGGATTTTTTATTATTGTTTGTCGTTATACTTTGGAACATTAATTAAGTACTCTCTTCGGTCAACAATAAATAATTTTTTTGCATTTTTTTTTGTGTGCCAAAATATCTGATTTTTTCAGATTTCAAGAATGATTTAATTATTTTTTCCTACATTGCCTTTGGAGTAAGTAATATTGGAGTATGTGTTAAAGAGTGTTTATGTGAAAAGATAGTAAATATTAATATGATCAATTTCATTGCTAATTAGTGTTAAAAGATGAATTTCTTAATTTGTGTGAAAACAACCAAAAAATGATTTATTGTGGACCGGAGGGAGTATATTATAGACTATAATTAACTTTTACTTCTCAAATTCTTGCAACACATTAATTGAGTATATTATTGACTATATTAATAGCCCGTTTGGCCAAACTGCAAAAATCAGCTTATTTTGAGAAGTGTTTTTTTCAAAAGTGCTTTTCTCAAAAGTACTTTGGGTGAGAAGCAGTTTGTGTTTGACTAATTAGTTTGAAAAACACTTCTGAGCAGCAATTAGTGTTTGACCAAGCTTTAAAAAACTGCTTCTAAGTGTATTTTTCTCAAAAGTGCTTCTCAAAAAAGTAATTTTGGAGAGAAGCTACTTTTTTCTGCTTCTCCAAAACTGCTTCTGCTTCTCCTCAAAAACACTTTTTTTTCCTTCCAGAAGTTTGGCCAAACACCTCAAATTGAGGCCAAAAGTGCTTTTGGCCAAAAATAAGTTTGGCCAAACAGGCTATAACTTTTTCTTCTTCTCAAATTCATACAACTTGTTAGGATGGTTATTATGTATTGTTTCACAATGTATCGTATCATATTATATAGAATTGTATAGTATTGTTTTGATGACTACAACGTTTGAGTAGATTGTATCATTTTCCATTGTTTCATAATTTTACACACCAATAATTTGAAGAATAAATTTATATATAAAGATAAAGCATGATACGAGGTAGAGTTGTTAAGAAAAGAATAAGGTAAAATATAATTATTATTAAGGACAAAATGAGAGGAAGAAAAATAAGGTAATAACACGATCACACCAAATCAGTCATTATATAAAATGAAACATTTCACCGTTACATAAAGACCAATTTAGCAATATGATATAATAGAATTTAAATAATAATCAAAACATTATATTTAAAGTAACAATACAATATAATAGGTAACAACCATCCAAACAAGTTGTCACTCATAGAAAGTTGTAAAGACTTTTTGAAAATCAATTAAAACCTTTGGAAAGAAAAGATTAATAACTCCTTAAATTTTGAAAAAAATAAATTATTTTGGATCAAATAGAAAATACTAAAAAAATCAAATAAAAAGGAATGGAGGGAGTAGGGATTATCCAATATGTACTACATCCGGCAATTCAATTGAAAATTGATGCAGATTCTCTCAAAATGGTTATACTTCATTCTTTATTCGAGGAATAATCTACCTATTTGTGCAGAAAATTGGCATATGAAAATGTCAGTGGTGCATTCTCCAATAGGCAATGGATTTCTAGTAGCTATTGTTTTTTATAACCGTGATGTTCGGACTAGCTTGCGCGCACCTCGACTAATTTCACGGGGTACCTGCCACCTCCCACCTGCAACAGATACCGGGTAACTATATCCACCAAAACTTGGATAGATGGGAAGAAATCACTTAGGGGTCGTTTGGTACGTGCATAAGAGTAATGCTGAATAGGATGTATTAATAATGTGATATTAGTTATATTTGCATTAGTTATGTTAACATATTTCTTTTCCATTGTTTGGTTTGATGTATTAAAGCATTGCACAATTTTTGAAAAAAGTGTGTGTTTACAAAAATACCCTCATAACCAGTCTATCTCTTTATCTTTTTAAAAGAAACATTTGTTGAGAAATATTTTTATATGAAAAAGGTTCGAAAAAGATATTTAATTTGTCTACCTATATGGTAGTATAGAGGTGAATATTTATTTATAAAAAAAGAAATGAAATACGCTAAATATTTATTTATTTAATAGGGGTATAATTTTATTTTCCACTTTCTTGAATTATTTCAAACATGCATTAATATAATACTCCCTCCGGTCCAAAATAAGTAATTTTTTGGTTGTTTTCACACATATTAAGAAAGTCACCTTTTAACATTAATTCGCAATGAAATTGATCATATTAACCTTCATTATATCTTCACATAAACACTCCTAATACATACTCCAACATTAATTACTCCAAGGGCAATGTAGGAAAAAAATAATTAATTCATTCTTGAAATCTGAAAAAATCACTTATTTTGGACCACAAGAAAAAAGCCAAAAATCACTTATTTTGGACCAAAGAGAGTAACATATTTTAAACAAGCATAAATTTTGAAGGGCAATTTTGTCTTTAACTAAACTAATGTATGCATTAAAACTCATTGCATTGTTAATACCATGATTTCTTATGCATTAGTTATGCATATAATAATACCAAATAGGGTGCATAACTAATGCATAAGTTTAAAAGGCGTACCAAACAAGATATTATTAATACACAACGTTAATGCATGCATTATTTTATCTAATGCATCCTACCAAATGACCCCTTAGTGTTTTTTTGCCTCCGTTGGATTTAAACTCGAGACCTCATAATTCTCACTTACTTCATTGACCACCAGGCCACGCACCCTTGGGTGTGAATTTCTAGTAGCTATTATGTAGTATGTCTAGTCATCTCTCTAGTTTTAGAGGTCGCATGTTAATTTAATAACAAAGGGTGTCACTGCACCGATGTCAAGTTGTAACAACATATGTTGCTCGAACTCTTCAAAATATTGTTAGATGTATGTCGGATGCTCCAAAAGCAATGGATTCTTGGAGGATACAACACGGGTGCCGCAACACTTTTAGAGTGTCCGGCGCAACATATGTAAAAACTAACCTGTCAATACAGTTAAGAAGCATGGTGTTTCTTTTCCCCCTTTTACCACTAGTGACAACAAACAAAATCTTTCCCAAGTTCTCATCATGATGCAGTATTTAGACAAAAAATGTTAGGATCAACTAATTAAGACATATTTATCTCCATCTGATAATAAACCTGTAGCACCGGCTGGCATCTTAGCTTCTGAAGCATCCTTTCGAACCTGAGCATGCGATTCAGCTTCGTGCTGGAACATCTTGACGAGTTCTTGTAACTCTAGTCTTCTAACCTCGACCTGCTCCTCCATTACTGGTTTTTTCAATCCAAGATAGATCAATCCAATAGCTATCAACACAGCTCCTAGCAAGACAAGAGCGAGCGAGAAGAAGGCAAATGCATATGGGGAACCCCCATTTCCAGGAATTCCATCCACATTTATCCCAAAGAGCCCGGTGATAATAGAAAGAACAAGTCCACAGCCTCCAAATACACCTAGATTATGTTGGACACGAAGGCTCTGATCCTGAAGTTAAAGAGGTTCAGAGTAAAAGCTCAATAGGTGTACATGAAAGTTACTGTTTAATAAAGATGAATACTCCTAATACACGTCAGGAAATGACTGATATGTCCAGAGCAGAAATGAAGGGCAGGGCAACCCGGTGCACTAAGCTCTCGCTATGCGCGGGGTCCGGGGAAGGGCCGGACCACAAGGATCTATTATACGCAGCCTTACCCTGCATTTCAAGAGGCTATTTCCACGGCTTGAACCAATGACCTCCTGGTCACATGGCAGCAACTTTACCAGCAATGCCAAGGCTCCCCTTCGCCAGAGCAGAAATGAAGAAAACCATTAAAATACTTTTTTTTATTTTGGTTCTTTTATTTCTTGGGTCTGTTGGTCTAGCAAATGTACTCAAGAGCAAAGTTTAAGTCGGGTGATACACTGATATTTCATCATCTCACTGTTTTATGAAGCTATAGTAAATCTCTAGTATTGATATTTCTATGAAGTAATAACACCACATGGAAACAGCTTCATTACGAAGCTGCATATGAAAAAAAAAGTGAATTAAAGCCATGATGGTTAAAGAGAAATATTTATATAGTCTATTCTTAAAAGAAAAAAAAGATTTATATAGTCTAAAAAATCGAGTTTTTGAACTTCAAACTAAAGAAATTTCTGAAATTGTGAATTATTCAAAAAGTTAATTGCATGAAGAGAATCATATTGCAGTTGATACGTCAATGCAGAAGTTCTAGCTGATAATAAACTCAATGTCGTGCATAAAGATTGATGTTAGACACATGTCACATATTAATCTGTCATGGAAGTATGAATAGAATGATTTAGTGAATAAACTTAGAAGCATGTAAACAATATAAAAGACATACTAATGGTTGCTAAATGGTGGATACAGATAGTATTTATTAAGATTCTATTCTTTTTTCTTCTTTTCAGAAACTAAATAGCGATTATATCTTAATTTTGTTATGAATTACCCTATTTTCAACTCAACAATTAAAGTCTTACCACAAAGTATTCTATATATACATATAAAACATATTTTACTTGTATATTCCAGACCGTACAAGCCTCAAGTTAGCTCTGCCATTGAGTGTACTGTCCCCAACTCCCCACAAAGCCATAATTCCCTGATCCACCAATCCAGTAAATGATATCAGTTATGAGAAGAATGTATAGACGTTTCACCACTCAAACTAGTATCGTTTATTCACGTCGTCTCCCATTACATTTCTTATTTTAATATGCCCCTTTATACGTCAGTGGTGCCACTCATAACTTATTCCCGTAATTACTCTCTTCCAATGCGTACCTATTACGCTACGTGACTTAATAGTGGTGCCACTCATAACTTATTCCTGTACCGCTTACCCCATGTGACGTTCATTCCAAGGGAACCTGACACCAGTTTTACTGGCTACCCACATAGATATTATAACTCAAGAATATATATATGTAGACAATTTGTCGAAAATAAACCATCTAGATGTGATTGTTCTGCATCATCATTTTGATTTTTGAATGATAACATTAAACTGATACAGGATATAGCTAATTAATTCGACATAATCAGGCTCATTTACCACAAGTTAAATAAAATAGACAAGTTGTGCCATGGAACTTTCAACTTTAATCACATATTTGGAATATAATTTTTGTAGTATTTGGAATAGAATTTTCAAAAAAAAATAAAATAATATTTGGAATAGAACTTTATCATATGCGAACAAATATGGCACCTGTAACCATGCGCGGACGGTACTCTGCATGACATCCTGAATTGTAAATAAGCGGCCACGAACCGCTTCTTGCTCTTCAATCATCTGTCTTGTACTTTTTAGTATTCCTTGAAGCAAACTCCTTACAGCATTTCCCCTCAGATGTTGGAGAAGCTCGACTACAATCTCCTCTCTTGCATGTAAAGACCATTTTACCCGTATAACCTTGACGGAAAAGAGAGCATATTGGTTCAAGTCTGACACATAACATGCTTTTAAACAGTAGGCTGAAATACAAAATCCTCTCAAAGATAAAAAGGAAGTTCATAGATATTCCTATACCATGAATAAATCAAGGGAACTAGTAGAGAAGACCTGAATGACATGTATAGTGTTAGAATTATTTTCAAATGTTTAAATTGTCTTTGTTGTACTTTTCACCACCAATCAAAGTGTTATGCTAAGACTCAGGAGGAAGAGTCTCACAGAGCGACGAGCTTTCTTAGAATGTAAAATCAGTTGCTTTTCTACATTTCTCTTATTCTAATTGGATTTGGCATCAACTGGAATAAGCACGGTTTTTATGCTTTGAGGGATCAATTTCCTGCAACCATGAAACTAAAGGTACCTGTGTTGAAAGCCTTCTAATTTCTTGATTCAAAATTATACTGAACAAGTGCATATCTTCATAGGTTCTCCTGTTCAACAGGGTTTACTTCATAAGTCAATAATGGAAGTGAGTAACTAAACCAAGTGCTATGTACTTTTCGTTTCGTTGCAAAAACAGTCCATAGACATGAGAGCGAAAACCTGTTCATGAACTTTAGTTCAGCTTCATCAGCTGCCCCAAAAATATACTTCCGAAATAACCTAAAACAAATGCATATTAGATAGTTGAAGAAAATCTACAATCATAAATTCCAAGCAACTTTAATCCAAAGTGAGGAAATTATAGGTAATTCAGCTGTGAACCATAAATGCAGAGTCTAAAGCAATCGATAAATTTCTATAGCGCCTGCGACAAATTCAAGCAATAAAGAGTAAATTTTACAATTTTTAATAAAGTTAAGCAGCATCAAATGTAAAGGTCAAAGAGAGTAGTTGGATGGAACAGAAGCAAACAAATGACATTGTACTAAGTATAAAAATTAAAATAAATCTTTCAATAAATAGAAAAACCAAAACTGTCACTGTCTAGCAGTGCATTAAAACGTCCACCTACAATTGTTTTTGTGTGTGTAAGAACGTCCACCTACAAATTAAACAAGTACAAATAAGGTTATGTCATGAACATGTTTGCTCGGATGGTACTTGTTCCCATCGAAAGCACTCCTATTTACTCTGGATAACTTGTATTTGCTGAATATGTTTAATATAATTGATACCATCTAAAGAAAGAAAAAGAACAAGAGATGGAGAAACATCAAAAGGTGACACGAAGCCAGCAAGAAGATGCAATTTGTTAAAATCAAGCGGAACTTGCAAGAAGTGAAACAGTATTAAGAAAAGAAATATGTGCAGATTAACTAAAGCAACAGTTAAATGGTGGAAAACCTTTAAATTAAGAAGAAACAAAAGAAGAAAATTGAATAACCAAAAAAACCAAAAGGAAAAGATAATTGTAATAGTGATCACAAAAGAAGAAAATTGAATAACCAAAAAAACCAAAAGGAAAAGATAATTGTAATAGTGATCACAAAAGAAGAAAATTGAATAACCAAAAAAACCAAAAGGAAAAGATAATTGTAATAGTGATCACAAAAGAAGAAAATTGAATAACCAAAAAAACCAAAAGGAAAAGATAATTGTAATAGTGATCCTTAAAAGGGAACCTATGCCAAAAGAGTTACAAACCAAAAAAAAAACAAGAAATACAGAAAAATCATTTTTTGTAGAGTCAAAGCTATTACGCTGATCAATAATATCTCCCTTTTCAACCGGCTTCAAGCTTTTTATATTGGAAATGGAATATAATATGGTTTGAAATCAGATGAATTCAATAGATTTTGGCAAATAGCAATACAATGAACATGAGGTCGTTGGTTTGCTAGAACATGCAGTCAGAACAAGTGGGTATATTTTAACATAATGAGATCTGAAACACAATAGAACATGAAACAAGGGAAAATTGACACCTGTCATCCCACCGGGCCAGGCGACAAGTTAGGAGTGCTACAACCTCATGAATTGTTCGTGGGACATTACAAGAGCCCGCAGCGAGTAGCTCCTACGCACCACATCATTAAACTATGAGAAATCTATAATTAAACAGTCCAAGCATTAAACTGTCTCCACTCTCCAGTAATGTCAAACAGATGATAGACAGAAGGATAGCTTGCTCATTGACAAACCTGAACTTCTGCAATACCTAACACGTTGATATTTGATGCAGATCCTTTAACATGCAATGCAGTTAACAAGAAATTGTGTGCTTGCCATGATCGTAAAACAACTGGTATATCATCTTCTTCAATAAAAGGATCACCAACTGACTGCCCCAAGAGCTCAAATAGTAGTCCACCAGCAACTCTAACCGGCACCTGAGCCCAACACCGCAAGAAGTGAAAGGTTATAGAAGCTCAAATCTGTGGACACTAGTTTTCACATGGAAATATAATAATCATCGTAATTCAGATATAATTATTTAAACATTAAATCCTTTAATGATTTATCACGGATTCCTCCTTCAATTCAACCAGAAATATTGAATTTCCTATTACAAACTCTCATGTATTTAGGCTAATAGAACTTTTAGGTCCAAATTTAAACCTCAACTAAGAGCCAAAATATTTAAATAAACGTTTAGAAAAAGCAAAAAGCTGTCTGTCATAGCTCGATTTTTCCTTCTTTTTCCTCCATAGTTTTTTGTTCGAAATATACTCTTTTTATATCATTGTTCTTAGCAGAGTTCACAAAAATAAAATTGGCACGAATAAAAGGAGATCCATGAACACCTCGGACACAACATAACGAACTCTTGTGGTATGATGCTTTCTAAGTTGATAGAGGCACTGGCTTTTAATGATGTTCTTAAGAAATAAGCTACCATAATATGAGCTAGGTTTTGGGATAGAGTTAGGCCCAGGATCCATTTTCTCAACATGATATTAGAAACTCATCTTTTTATTTACTCAATGTTAGGTCTCATCTATGTTATATTGCACATGCTCCAAATGTCCGGTCCTAGGCGTGAGAAGGGGTGTTAGAATATCCCAAATTGGTTGAAGGAATGAGTTATTGCCTCCTTAAATGGTCTTAGGAATCCTTAACTTATGAGCTAGTTTTAAGAGTTGAGTTACGTGCGAGATCCATAAACATGGTATTAGAGTCAGACCCATCTCTATTCTTTGTTTACCCAATGTTCGGCCCCCAAGTTATATTGTCCACGCTCCAGAGTGTCCAACTCTGGCTTAAGGAATGAGCTTAGGGAATGAGTTGTTTATTTTCTTATATGGCCTTGGTCGATCCTCACATCATGAGCTAGCTTTTGAGGTTCAGCTCAAGGTTCATTTTCTCAAAAAAGTCAAACTGTGGAGAGAAAATGGTCTACAAAATCAAATGACTGGTTGCCAGGTTAAAAGACAGAATATCTAACCTCAATGTTCTTAAAGACCGGTGTTGGACCACTTTAAGCATGCCATTTAGCAAAGATAAGATCCCATTACGGACTGTCTACATTCGTTCCTCCCCTATTAACCCCGTTGTTATGTCATAAGGAGCCATATATACATGTAATATGTATACATCGGGCTTGTCTAAGCATATTTTGGTTCTTATTCTGAGCAGCCTCTAGAAGGCCTAGAAGCAGAAGTGGCTGGTCAGTGATATATTTTATAAGATAAAACACCATTACCTGCATTTCTTCTTTCCAAGATCTTCAAAGTTATCAAGATCAGATGCTTCTCTAGGTCATTTTAAGGACCAATAGTGTACCTCCTGAGGTAGTTTTAATCCTCATAAAGTTCTACATACTAAAAATTAAAAGGAAGGAAAATTACCAGAGTATCCTGGCAGATTATGCAATAGGTTAGATATCATGTTGCTATTAGGAGCAAAAAGAAGGTTTAATCTTCCCAAAGTTGTTAGCAGTATAGCATGCTCGAGTGTAAACTTATACAAGCGAAATACCTCATAGAGAAGGTGCTTCATACGTTCACTAATCAGCTTGCTTTCATCTCGCAAGGCAATACTTATGGCAGGATGTAGCCACTGAGCATTGTTCAACCATGCATTGACGAAAGGGTGACCGGCAGCTACATGACACCACCAAGTTGGTCCAACCGGGCGTTCCCAGTATGGAGCTGCAACATCTGCTACAGTGACATCATCTTCCTCATCGGTAAGCTCAACAGGCTGAGAGGCCCAATCAGTATCAACATGCACTGTCTGAAGCAGCTCAGATATTCTAGCCCAGCCTATTGGTATCCAGTAATTACCAGAAGACCTTTCTCGGGGATTATAAGGATAATCTTGTTGATAACCTTGGACATGCGGGTTCTCAATGTCAACATATCCAGACTCTGTATAATAAGGTTCTATAAACTGATCCTTGTCGACATCTTGGGGTGAGGAATAACTCGCTCGACTTTTAGATAGTGGTGGCTTTTTAGGTTCCCTGGCAGCATAATGTCGTGCAGAGTGATTTTTAAAAGTGGATCTTGATTCATTTGTCTTCCGTTGGCCACGGACAAATTCAAAGGCACAAAGCAGGCCATCTGTCCATAACTCACTTCCCAGCGTGACATCTCTGGACAGTTGCTGTTTATGATTCTCTTGGTTCTTCATGCCATTGTTCATTTCTGCACTCTCATGAGTAACACTACTCATTTCGCTCCCCCTTTTAGTTTCAGCTTAGCAAGCATTCCTGAAATACTCAGCAATAGATGGACTAGTCTGAAAAAGGTCACAAAATAAAGGAAGACAACAACGATAGAATCATAGATTATCAGCATTATTTGAGGATTGCAAGTTAACATTTTGCCTAGACCAGATTATGTTTGTAATGTAATCTCATGAAAAACCATTTTAACAAAAAATTAGAGTTACTCCAATTATCCAATCGATTCGAGCAACAATAGGTAATACCATTATGTCATAAAAACTAAAGGTATACTAAGACCAAAGGAACTAATGTTGCTGATATGAAAGCTAAGTTGCTCGGACTCGGGTGGGGGCATCCGATACGGGCACGGATCCTGGTGTCGAATTCGGCAAAATCCAAATTTTGAGATTCAGGGGTGCGGATTCAGGTATGGATACGAGTGCGGGGGTTCGGCTAAAAAAATTCAAAATTAGAAAAAAATAGAGCTATAAAGAGAAAAAGAAAGCCATTCAAGGCCTTCCACCAACTCTCTTTCTATATCGCTGCTACTGTCTACCAGAAGTCCGAACTCAGAACACGCCCCCTTGAATTCTTGGTTTTTCTGAAACACAAAGCAGCAAATATGAGACAAAAGTACTACAATATTGAAGGTATGCCATTTCCCATGTGTTAAATATGTTTCATTTTTAATTTTGAGAAATCAAAATCTCAAATTCCCCCCAAATTTTTCGATTGACTCAGGTAAAAGTATCCAAAGTTAGTTGACCGAATCCGAGACGTATCCCGCTCCCGCTCCCATCCGTGTCGAGATGAGTGCGGCACCAAAAACGAAGAGTCCGCACAACTTAGTATGAAAGATACAATTTATCACTCCTTCAATACCAACTAAAGATATATACAAGTACCAAAGGAACTAATGCCGCTGATAGGAAAGTCAAAGGCTGTACACCCACTTATAATTCTACCACTTCAATTCAACGAAAAACAGGATGAAATTATAAAAGATTCCATCTCCCCCAAGTATCACTGGTGGTGACTAGAGCAGCAGCAAATGATGGTAATTCTTGTTCATAATAAGCCGATAAACAGCAGGAATAACATATTCAGGAGGTATCACTTATGGTAGAAGTTATGCACAAAACTTCATGCACTAATTATTCATCAACACTCTCGATGATTGTCACAAAATGGTGTATAACCAATATTAGAATTAGCATTATGGGAAGAAGAATGGTTTTCAGCAGGTAACTCGTACCAAATTGTGGTATTATCTTTTTACCGAAACTCAGACTGAATATGCATGAATGAGACACATTCACCAAAAGTTACATAATTTGTGCTTTTAAGGGTCATGTATAGTAGTTCAGCCAGAAATCCACTGAAGTAGTACACTTTTTTTTTTTGGATACATAAGAAAATTTATGAAATGGTGAGAATTAATCCACTGAAGAAGTACACTTCGAGAGTGTATCGTGCATTCAACAGTTAAAGGTACATTCCTAGACACATGTTTTACAAGGCATAACAATGACTGAACAGAGAAAAGAACCAATGAAGGGAAATATTTTTCTTGAAAAAGTCATTTCTGGTGTTACAGAAAAATGTTTTCCAAAGGAAAAAAAAATTCCACAGAAAGGGAAAAATTGTCCCTCATTTATGAGGGGATTTTATCTTCTTTACAATAATCCCAACTCCTAAATCCCTACATGTCACTTGCTCTAAGCCTCTAACCAACACATACACATTAGTATCAAACTATAACACTTAAAAAAAATCATAAAACCTCTTTTCAAGGCGCCTCAATACCAAACAAGTAGAGATTAGCTATATGAATCCTCATAGACCATGTTCCGCATTTAAACTCATCTTAAACCAACATTATACAACATAAAACCAAAAATGAAAAGTATTAGACATTCTCTACAGGCATACGAATCACTAATAGGGCTAAAAGACTCCTAGAAAGCATAGCACTTAATGTAAAATTCCGCCATAGCGCACGTCGGAGGTCCAAGTCCGGATAAAGGAGAAGGGTTGAAGTCAGCGGCGGCGAAACTAGGAATTTCCTCAAGCGCGTTCAAACTTGAAAGAAGGAAAGAAGTGAAAAATTCTGCGACAAAGGGTGTTCTCTATATATTATACCTCTAAAAACTAATATTTTACCTATATATCCAGCGTAAGTTTTCGACGAATTGACCACCCTTTAAGACATGTAGCTTCGCCCCTGGGCTGGCAGCTAGCGTAAAACTACGCAATTCATGATGAATTTGCTGATAATATCATCAATCTTTCATAAATTGTACATTCTCCAAACATGCTTCGCTATATAAATCGCAATAAACGTTTAGGAGAACTTACGAGTAGCGAGGGTGAAGAGTGATTGGCCCCAGATGAAGAATTTGTCCCTTGAATTCCAGAATTTTCCTGTAAACTTCCCTCATATATTCCTCCGTTTCTTCTATACATGCCAAACTGCCGCAATCTGCTGAGGCTGACTGAAACCCAGCGCCCACCGATCACTAATCAATTCAAAGCGCCTCGCCCTCAATTTTATCAACAAAAACGAGTATCTAAATAATACTTTTTTTATATTATTTAAATATTTTTTACGGGTGAAAATCATTTTACCTCCCACAAGCTTAGTTTAAAAATCAAACTCACCTCCAACTTTGAACAATTATCATTTTCATCCATTGGTCCTAAGCAATATTTATTTTACCCTTAATATTTTCAACTCTATATACTATTTTATATTATTTAAATATTTTTTAATATAGGTATTTATTAGTATTATATCTTATTATATAATTTAATCTAAGTTCACTAACAATATATAACTAAAATGTATTGCTAAAATATAATTTAATCTTACTATTTTATATTATTTAAATAACTATATTATAAATTTATTACAAAATATATTGATACTTTATTATTATATAAATTAAAATACATATAATGTATGTCGATCTGTGTGTGATTTTAAGTTTTACTATTTTTATTATTCTCTATGTTTATATAAATTTTTGAGTTTGATTGTCATTACTAGATTTTTTTAAAATTATAATTAAAGTTCATGTAAAGTGTAAATAAATATTTCTGCAAATTTATTTATAAAATTTACCTCTATTTTACGCCCATTATTTTTTTAATTACCCGCATTGTATAATTTATAAAATTTTCACTTTCTTTTATCCTCAATTTTGTAAATAGATTGAGTTTTGATTGTTATTAATAAGATTACCGATACGAGTAAATTATTTATTGTAATTTTTTTCTCATTTTTTTCATTATTGACCATCATTAACTTATATGCTTGACTACTACTTCTCACTTTTTGTGGTTTCGAATTTTTTTTAATTTGTCTATAGGTAAGTCGATAATATAAATTAAAATAAAAAATGTCATTATATTAAAGAATAAAAATAAGCGATAAAAATTGTAGAGAGCAAAATAGGCATTTTAAGAAGTTACCTTTGGCATGAGAAGTAGAATGATAATTGTTCAAAGTTGGAGGATGAGTTTGATTTTCAAAACAAACTTGGGGGATGTAAATGATTTTCACCCTATTTTAAGATATTGTTATATTATTTAAGTTGACTATATTTTTTCAAATACTTTAAAAAAAAATTTACACATATAAGGAGGTGTGAGTAGTTGGCTTTGGCGGGTATGAGAAGAGGTAGAGGACCTAAGAAGTATTGGGGAGAGGAGATCAGGTGCGACATGATGCGACTTCAGATTTTCGAGGACATGACCCTTGATAAGAAGGTGTGGAGGTCGAGCATTAAGGTTGAAGGTTCGGAGATAGTTGAGCATTTTTCTACTTTGTACTAGGGTGCGAGGCTAATCTGATAGTGTTTTGTCCTAGACTGCTAGTGGTTCATGTTGTGTTCGTACTATTTTTTGTTTTCATAGTATCGTAACTTTTTTACTGGTTATTGTTATTTCTTTCCCATATATTTTTTGGTCCTTACGATGCTGGTATTATCTTTCTAGCTTCTGTTGATGTTACTGATCTATTGTGTCTTTTCGTCTTCTTGAGTCGAGGGTGTAAGCACGTGATTTTTGCCCTATATGAGAATTACTCCCAAAAAATTCAAAATAAAATGATTTTCCTTGGTGTGCAATTTTGAGAATTTTTGTGACATTTTTGGATAATTATTTGTATTTGTCTGTGCATGTTTATTTGTTAAATTAATAAAAATACAAAAATATGTCGCATTTTGCATGTAGGATTTTATTCTACAATTGTTAGTAATTAAGTTTGTTTTACAAAAATTAAAAATTACAAAAAATAGGCATCTTTTGCATTTTTAGCATTTAATGTCCAATTATACAATTTTATGCTTAATTATTACATAATTGTGCGTTAATTATTATTGGGAGTTAATTTGCGCTTTTATAACTTAATTTAGTTCTTAATAATA